GTAGTAGGAGCAGCAGCAGCAGCAGTGGGCGAGCCAAAACGAACGTGTGCGGGCCCGATCTGCACTCTGTTGGCCAGCCTCCCAGCCCTGCAAGCCCTACCCCGGGTCCAACTGGAAGAGAACCCGACAACCCGAGCTCACGAGACCGAATGCAGGGACGAGACCGTTAACGGGGGTGTCAATCAGTGGCCACGAGAAAGTAAACCGGGTTGACAGAGATTGCGTGCCAACGCAGCTTTCTGAGGTGGGAAGGACGGCGCATGCGCCACCCTTCTCTTCTCATTCTGATCCTCGCTGCAGTGCTGGTGTGGCACTCGTCCGAACGGTCCTTGCACCGTCAAAATTACATTTTGCTTGTTGAGCTGTGAGTCATAGTGGCTGTTTGTTTTCTGTTCTGACAGTTCAGCCGCGGCCCTGACCGACTTTGCAAAGAGCCACCGTGAAGAAGCCGCAGTGTAGCGAGCAAGAATGAGGCATTGCCACTGGTGGCTCGTGGTGAGTCTACCCCGGTGACACAGCTGGTGCCTCAAGTTGTGTCCAAACAACTCATCTGTGCATGGTTTTTTGGAAGGATGCTAAGTAAACTAGTATAAAGAAGAAGTTTTGGAGTCAGACGCCTGCAGGATGATGACGTGTGCCTGCCGAGGCCATGGTCTTTGCTGGGTCAAGTGCCTGTTGTTCTTCGCTTCACTCCACAGATTGCAGCTCCGCAGGGCACTCGGGCGCTGGTATGTGCGAAAAGCATCCGCATCGTTTGTTCCTTCAGGGTGACGGCGCTCCGAGCTCGCTTGGTGCTACAGGCCCGAGTGTTGCGCTTGTGTAAGAGCTCACTTGCTGAACTTGTCGTTGCTGGAAAGGGCGTCAACGTGAGCAACCTGGAGCTGCTCTCGATCACAGGCCTTCCCCAGGTCTTGGAAGTTACGGCCTCAAATGCCCAGGTATCTCACTGTCAGTGCAAGCTGGGCCCTCTTTCAGGTGGCAGCCTCACTTGGGACGCTCACAGCGCTCGGAGCTCAGGCCACGCAAGAGCGTGTGAGACCGAGGCCAGAGAAGATCCCGCAAGTTTGCAGGGCATGTTGCTGCAGAAGGCTTGAGCCCTTCAATACGATTCAATGAGCCTCAGGTGGGAGCTCCTCTTGGGTGCACCTTTGGCCAAAGACGTCGAGGTCACCTTGCTGCTCCGCGGGGCACCCGGGCAGTCGCTATCGCTTGTCCAGTGCCACGTGACAGTAGCGTAGCTTTGCAGGTCATGTGCTGATCAGTGTGCCTTCCAGGTTTGCAGCTTCATCCCGATGCTCTGACCTAAGCTGGACTTCCGTCGGCGCCGGACCATCCGGACCCGACCAGCAGAAATTGATGTTCGACGCATCGAGAACAGTGAGACCGACACCTTGCGATTGGACTGGCGGTCAAACGCAGCAGCGGTTTGATGTTCTTTGTTCTTCGCTAGTCGGCTACACGACTCCGGATTTCGATGATCAGAATCCGAATGAATTTCTGGTCCATGGCAGCCTCCAAACCAAACAGTGAATTTTCAGTGCGCTGCAAAGTCCACAAATCCCTTGCCTCAAGAAGCTCCACTTGCCTGCGCTGTGCTTCCAAGTTCGATGGGGCGGTGCTGTCCATGCCACAAGCACAGCTTGCAGTCGAATATGCCCTCGCCACGAGGCCCGCGACATCTTGCCACTTCTGATTGTGTAGACAGTGTAGACTCTATAGACGAAGATGATACTGCGACCCTGGCAGCACACACGACGCAAACAAGGACACAGGCAAACGAGGAAAGGACGAAGAAGACGACAACACCACGAGAAATGCAATCTCCGAGGTGTGGTTGTTCGATCTCTTCGAGCAGTTACCTCTATCCTAGTTCAGATGTTGTCGCACCGCCATTAAAACAGAGACCCCCCAAAGAGCGAAACGCGCTTGAGCTGCACACGAGCTTAGCCTCAGACTTAGACAATTTTCGGGTGTCGAGTTTGAGCGTCGCATAGTAGCCTTAGGAGGCACAAATGCGGTGCTAAGTATAAAGTACTGCGTACAGTATCAACACGATCACAGGTAGTGGTGGTGGCAGTGAGAGTGGCGTAGTCATAGCACTGGCAGTAGGAGTAGGTGGTAGTAGTAGTCGTCGTCGTCGTAGTAGTAGTAGTAGTCGTAGTCGTAGTAGTAGTCGTAGTAGTAGTCCTAGTAGTAGTAGTAGTAGTAGCAGTAGTAGTAGTAGTAGTAGTAGT